CTTGGAGCCTTCGCCGGTGCTCCGCCGGAGGGGGAATCGGCCACGGAGGGCCTCTCCATGACCACCAAGGCTTCTCCGATGAGTTGTGAGTAGTTTATCGCAGACCTTCGGGTCCATAGTTATTAGCTAGATGGCTTCTTCTCTCTCTTTGATTCTCAATACAAAGTTCTCCTTCCTCTTCTTAGAGATCTATTCGATGGAACTCTTTTTCGGTGTGTTTGTCGAGATCCGATAAATTGTGGGTTTATGATCAAGTTTATCTATGAGAAATATTTGAATCTCCTCTGAATTCTTTTATATGATTGGTTATCTTTGCAAGTCACTTCGAATTAACAGTTTGGTTTGGCCTACTAGGTTGATCTTTCTTGCCATGGAAGAAGTGCTTAGCTTTGGGTTCAATCTTGCAGTGTCCTTTCCCAGTGACAGTAGGGGCAGAAAGGCACGTATTGTATTGTTGCCATCGAGGATAAAAAGATGGGGTTTATATCATATTGCTTGAGTTTATCCCTCTACATCATGTCATCTTGCTTAAGGCGTTACTCTGTTCTTATGAACTTAATACTCTAGATGCAGGCAGGAGTCGGTCTATGTGTAGAGTAATAATAGTAGATGTAGGCAGCAGTCGGTCTACTTGTTACGGACATAATGCCTATATACATGATCATGCCTAGATAATCTCATAACTATGTACTTTTCTATCAATTGCTCGACAGTAATTTGTTCACCCACCGTAATACTTATGCTATCTTGAGAGAAACCACTAATGAAACCTATGGCCCCCGGGTCTATCTTTTATCATATAAGTTTTCCATCTACTTTTATTTGCATCTTTTATTTTCCAATCTATATCATAAAAATACCAAAAATATTTATCTTATCATATTATCTCTATCAGATCTCACTTTCGCAAGTTACCGTGAAGGGATTCACAACCCCTTTATCGCGTTGGTATTGAGGTTCTTGTTTGTTTGTATAGGCGCGTAGGACTTTTGAGGAGCCTCCTACTGGATTGATACCTTGCTTCTCAAAATTGAGGGAAATACTTACGCTACTTTGCTGCATCACCCTTTTCTCTTCAAGGAAAAAACCAACGCATGCTCAAGAGGTAGCAAACCCCTATACTCATTATACCCATGAAAGTCAATCAAGTAGGAAGTAGGGTATTACCTTCAGTAAAAGGGCCTGAACTTGGGTAAACATTGTTTCCCCTGCCTCCTATTACCTTCGATCGTTAGACGCACAGTTCGGGACCCCCTACCCGAGATCTCCCGGTTTTGACACCGACACCCCACTCACACACTCTCCACGTCCCGCGCTCCATGGCTCGTGCAGCCAGTGGCGAAGACTGGGGGGCCAGCAGGGGCCCTGGCCCCCCCTAACAAACAGGATTTCAAGCTAATTTTCCTATAAGCAGTACATAATTACTGGTTATTTGATGCTAAAAACTCATTTTTCTAAGATTTGGCCCTCCCCGATCAGTTTTAGCATGACTCGGCCTCCCTGATAATTTTTTCGTGGCTCCGCCACTGCGTGCAGCCATAGCGCTGGTATGCGTACGCGCGGTCAGGTCGAGCGCCCTGATGCGGTCACTTCTTTGCCCTTGTCGTCAACTAACACACCTACGCACGCACACATGCACGGACACAAGAACACATGCGCTCGTGCCCTGCATGTACCGCAACTGGCGCACCCAACGTCAGTCACTACCGTGCTCAGGTCACGACTTACTCCCAACATGTAGATGGCAGAGGCAGCATCTAGCACTGCCAGCTTGGATTCTTGGATGCATAGTACTGTAGGTTACAAGGGGATTCTTGGATTCTTGGTTTTCCAAGAGCGAGCTCGTTAGCTTTGTTCTGAATTCTTGTATGTGTGACTAATAACAAACAGAGGCTGGCTGGCTGGCTACGCCGCGGAGGACTGCCATCATGTCAGCACCGCCATTGGAGGCAGCAGCCGCCGGGCATGCCTAGTTCAGTGAGTTGTGCTGTCTGCGAATCCATGGGTCTGTGGAGGAGAAACTCTGGCCAAATGCAACAAGCTTTTTTCGTCGTCGATGGCAAGCAAATTGCTGAAATCGTCACATTTGTAGCTAAGGTACTTCAAAACCATGGCTTCTCTCGAAAATAACAAATCGTTGCCGCTTCTGCGGCGGCAAGTGAATAACATATCGCACTACTTCGAAATTGAGCAGCGACTAAGCAGGAACCTTACGGAGATGGCCCGCCTGCCAGGCTGACTTGGCATGCATATGTGGACAATATGTTGACGTGGAGTGGGCCCCACCTGTCATACTCCCATTTTTGCCCTATTATGTTATCATGTTTTCCTTCCTCGCATGAATCCTTGTCGTGCTGGTTGCGGCTGCGGACCGAGCCACGCCGCCTGGCTCGGCCACCACAAGCAGCTCGCCATGGATGGCCACGACCGTGCCGCACGGCCCGCTGCTGGCTCCGTTGTTGCCCAACCACCGCCTTACCGACACGCCATTAGCCTGCACATGTAACCTCACACCCAACCATGACCAGGCCACCATCGTCGGCTCCTATCCAAGCACCAGCCACAGCGGTGCAGCCGCCGCCAGCGAGAGCCCCATGTCGCTGCCTCTGCCCAGGCCCGTCTGCAGTGCCTCCTCCTATCGACCATGGATGAGCTATGTGAGGGGCACCACGCCGGTGCAGTCGCTGCCACGTCCACGGGCGCGGCCAGGGTGATCCACCACGGCGCGTGGGGGGAGGGGACGGCGAGCACACATGGCCTCGGATTTGGCCGGCGTCAGGCGGCGGGGAGGCGTGCCGAGAGGCCACACCGGCGTGGTCGCCTCCGCGACTGCGGGCGTGGCCAGCGCGGTCCGCAACAGCGCGTGCGGGGAGTGGGTGGCGGGCGCATATGGTCTCGGATTCGGCTGCCGCCAAGCAGTGGGGAGCCGTGCTGGGAGGGGGTGGCCAGAGACAGAAAATTGACGACCTCGGATTCGGCCGGCGCTAGGCGGCGGGGAGGCATGTGGGGAGGGGGCGGCGCTGCACCAAATTCAGTCGGCGACTGTCGGCGGGGGAAGCGTGCTGGGGAGGGCAGTGACAGGCGACGGGGAAGGATGGTGCTGTTGGATGACCAATGGTGAGGCAGAAAGATATGTAGGGAGGAAGAAGGAGAGGAGAGAGGAAATGAGGTGTTGCTGACAGGAGGGACCCCTGTCTATCTCAGCAGGTCAAACATTGACTAGGACCAGTCTTCGCCCCATCAGCCCAGACAGGTGAGTCCCACCCGTCAGTTTTGCTATTAATGCGGCTCAGTTTCAAATTAATGTGTTTTGTTATCCACTTGGCGCAGAAGTCGTGTTTTTTTTTTTGAGTTTTCGATAGAAGTGGTGGTTTTTGAGTACCCTAGCCATAAATGTGACGGTTATAAGCAATTTACTCGTTTTGCGGGGTGACGGGCCCTGTTACTTACTTGAGCATAGAACCAAACTGCATATGCATCTGCCCAATCGTTTGGCTACCAAATACTACTCGATACCATCAACACATAAAAGTGCCATCCCGACCCGAGCAACACACAAGTCAGGCAGCAGGACCTAAAGTTAATTAGTGGATGCCATCTTGGTTTTCCACACTACTACCATAGTAAGCAGTGCTAGAAAGAGCATGCCAAAGAAAGGAAGGTAGTGTAGCTAGACTAGTTATCCTTTTCAGCGAGCCAAGCCAACAGAGACAGACGACACCCTAGGCTGATTTGGTACGTAGTACATGGCCACCCTAAAAAAAGACCACTCCTGCACACAAGAACACGCTTCTCGTAAGGGCGACCATAACTGAGCAATTGTGTTCCATGAGTCTTTATTCTATGTATATCATGTTGCAACAGTTGTTTGCTTGTATATCCTTTTGCAACCAGGCAATTGGGTTCCATGAGTCTTTATTCTATGTACGCAATGGGTAGGTACTAATAGGACTGGCTAGGGGTAAGATGAGTGGAAATTTAATTTGAGCAGGTCGATCGGTTTTTAGCCGTCAGATGCGTAATGAGTGGCCAGATTGTTTTCTTCGACCTCCTGCCCCGTAGAATGATCACCTTTTTCCCTAAGACCACCCACGCACCGACCTCCGTCGCCGCGGTGCTCCTAAACCAGCCTGGCCAACCCGCCCTCCCCTCCACCGGCACCCACCGACATCATTCCGCCACATCCTACCCCCCGCACCACACACACACCCCTAAGATAGATCACCGACAAGCCTGCCACCCTAAGATAGATCGTCGGCCATTGCTCCTTCCTTCCTTGCTTGCATCCGACGAGCCTGCTTCTCATTCCAATAATCTAGTGATCCAAATTGTAAATTCAAACGACTTACGTATAGCTATTGTGTAGTACTAGTATATACTACCTCTGTCCCAAAGAGCTTGTCTTGGGCCTATCTAGATACGGGTGAATGTAACGCTAAAACGTGTCTAGATACATCCGTATTTGGACAAATCTATTGCCAAGCAGTTCCACAAAGAGACAGGTAGTGGTGCCATCCCAGGTGTTATGTAGTAGAGGTCAGACAGGCTGACCAAGGGTAGCGGAGTGGACACCATTTCTGTTCCCGCACTCCACATAAAGAAAGAAAGAAACAATGATGAAACAAATGATATTTCAACAGCGGTCTGGGCTGATTGGGTACATGCATGGTCACCATCAAAAACACTCGTGCTGCACAAACAGCACGGGTGCCTGTACAACAGGGCAACAAGAAAGAGCGACCATGCCCCCCGCACGCCAGAACCACAAGAAAATCGCAACACAAGACAAGATAACGACAGACAGACGACATGAGATAGTTTCAACCCCGACGAACACGGGTAAGGGTAAAAAAAGAGTTTGCTAGCCTGAGAGCTAGGTTGAACGGACGGACAACGGACTGACTGCCTGCCTTTCGCAGGTTACAACTGTTATCTACACAAAGAAGCTAGACGGACGGAGCGCCCTTCAGACGACCGATAACAATGGTCAATGCTTCTTCCTAGACGACGAAGTCCCGCGGCATCGTTACGCCCTTCATCCGGAAGTTGTTGGGTATCTCCTTCAGCCAGGAATACCGCACGTCAGCCACACCTGAAACCAGAGGACGTTTTCGTCAGCGAGGAGAAGAGGTAAGCATTCACATGTTCTTCACAAACTGAATTCAAGGATGGGAAGAGAACACTCACCGGCTGTGTTTGCAAACGGGGACTCGCTGTAGTACGCGCAGTCCCTACCAGCAGCGCTGTTGTAAGGGGGTCCCATGACGTCGAGAACAGCGCAAGGGGTCAGCGCGGTGAAGCAGTGCAGGTTGCCTCCGTTCTCCGGGTACAGAACGATGGTCTCCGCTGAGCCGTCAACAACATTGTTTGTGTTGATCTTTGCGAGACGAGCCCCTGGAGTGAGTGGTCAGGACAAGAAACATATCAGCAAATGATTTATTTTTCAGCGGCAGGAGCATTGCTAAAAAAAAAGAAGTAAATAGAGGAACAGGGAATGAAACTAGGAAACTTACCGTCTGAGGTGGTGAGCGCAGTAGTGCCGGCCTCCGAGATGCTTCTGGCCCAGTCATACGACTTGAGGTGCATCGAGCCAAAGAGCATCTTGCTGAAGACCGTCATCCCGGGATGGTTGTGCAGGGGAATGACGGCATGCTTGGGCAAACAGAAGATACCAAACTGCACAGACCACACAAAGCGTTCAGCAACAGTATATCGTAAGAGGCCCTTCTTTTTTTCAGGAAATCATCATTGTACATGAAATGTATGTAGAAGGCGTGAGCTTACCGAGAACTTGGGGCAGTCGTAGAAATGCAGATAGGTGACTGCAGGAGGCGCCCTCGAGTCGCTGCGCTTGAAGCACGTCATGCTTGTGTCTATGCCAACATCTTGCAGATTCAGATTATCTGAAACCAAACAACAGTGCAATGATCAGATAAGATGTACCTCATCATATTGATTGACAGGTCAGGTACGACATGATATTTGGATATACATATATAAAAATGCAGGTGCATGACTCCAGAAATTGCTTTTAAATAAAAGACATGGCTGGAGGTAGAAATACCAATCAGATTCAAAATTAAGAATAACAGAAAAGTTGCTACTCCCACCAATAGATGAATATTAGTTGATGATGAACAGAATCTAATAGTATCCGCATGCAGAGTGACACAAACTCACTCGGACACTGCTGAAACAAGGTTCCTTAATGCCATGTTTCGAACCAAAAGTATATGCAGAGCAATGCAAATTTATGGGACAGATGAGTAACATGCAAAATGGCAAGCACAGTTGCACTGACAATGGTAGCTACTGTCAAGTTCAGCAGGATACACTTATACAGCATTATTATTATTAATAATACTGGTAGAGCAGAGCAGTGGTGTTGCAGCAATGGCGTGGCGTGGCACGGGCACGGGCAGGCAGGCAGGCAGACATGCCGGCGCGTGCATGGCAAAAAAGAAATACCAGGGGGCTCGACCTCGTGGCATGCCAGAAAAGGAGCATGTATGTAGGAGTCACGGGCCGATAGGAGGCAGCCGCGACGTGGACAAGTCGCGGGACAGCGAATTCTACATCATTCTCCTGCGACTGCATCCTCCTAAATCCCGAGCACGGGAGACACGGATTGATGGGCGCCCATGCCATCCATGTCAAATTCACCTGGGACTCGAATCGAACTTGGGACAGCAACCTACCTACCATGCGTAATTGGGTACGGGAGAGGGATGGGGAGGGGATGCTCACTGAGGATTGCGGCGAGGCGGGCGACGGCGTCGGGCGGCGGGACGAAGCCGGGGGCGGAGCCGGCGAAGACCTCGCGGCTGGTGTCGAAGAGGCGCTGCATCGGCGTGGGCGGCGCCGGGACCGGCACCGGGGGCGGGACCGGGACGGCGACCACGGGGGCCGCGGCGTTGGCGTTGGCGTTGGCGTTGGCGGCGCCGGAGGACTTCTTGTTGCGGCGGCGGTTCCTGCGGGAGGAGGCGGTCTCCGCGCCTGCGGCCGCGCCGACGGGGTCCTGCGCCACCGGCATGGTGGTCGGGG